ATTCAACCCCGAGATATCTTGAGGATATCTTGGTTTCTATCTTCTGTGCTTTGTTGTGCTTTTTGGGAGCTTGTGGTGGAAAAAAACGCATTCAACCCCGAGATATCTTGAAGACATCTTGGTTTCTATCTTCTGTGCTTTGTTGTGCTTTTTGGGAGCTTTGTGGTGGAAAAAAAGCGCACTCAACCCCGAGATATCTTGAAGATATCTTGGTTTCTATCTTCTGTGCTTTGTTGTGCTTTTTGGGAGCTTTGTGGTGGAAAAAGCGCATTCAACCCCGAGATATCTTGAGGATATCTTGGTTTCTACCTTCTGTGCTTTGTTGTGCTTTTTGGGAGCTTTGTGGTGGAAAAAAGCGCATTCAACCCCGAGATATCTTGAGGATATCTTGGTTTCTATCTTCTGTGCTTTGTTGTGCTTTTTGGGAGCTTTGTGGTGGAAAAAAGCGCATTCAACCCCGAGATATCTTGAAGATATCTTGGTTTCTATCTTCTGTGCTTTGTTGTGCTTTTTGGGAGCTTTGTGGTGGAAAAAAAGCGCATTCAACCCCGAGATATCTTGAAGATATCTTGGTTTCTATCTTCTGTGCTTTGTTGTGCTTTTTGGGAGCTTTGTGGTGGAAAAAAAGCGCATTCAACCCCGAGATATCTTGAAGATATCTTGGTTTCTATCTTCTGTGCTTTGTTGTGCTTTTTGGGAGCTTTGTGGTGGAAAAAAGGGGATAGGGATCAAAAAAAAAATAAAAAAGGATCAAAAAGAAAATAAAAAAGGATCAAAAAAAAATAAGGCCGCGATCGACGACCCTCTCACACGAAACGCGTCTCGAGACGCCAAAACTCGAGTTTTGGTACGTTTTCAGAGCACGATTGACGACCCTCTCACACGACACGCATTTCGAGGCGCTAAAACCCCGAGTTCTGACTCTTGGCTTCACGGCTTCTTGGCTTCTTGGCTTCTTGGCTTCCTGGCTCTCCTCGGCTTTTAGCTTTATGCTTCTTGGCTTCTTTTTTTAAGTCGCACAAGCTTGCTTCAACGCATACACGTGTATCGAAAGCCATGGTGCGAGGATTGTGTTTGCAAATGGGGGGGGCTGCGCCCCCCCCAACCCCCCCGCTTTTTAAGTCACGTAAGCTTGCTTCAAAAATAAGCGTCTGTTCGACAATAATGATGCGAGCATTGTGTTTGCGTGTGTGGGGGCGGGGGGGGGGGAGGGCTGCACCCCGCCTTTACCAGACCCCCGCTTTTTTAAATCGCGCAAGCCTGCTTCAAAGCCTACGCGTCTCTTCGAGACCCATGATGCGAGCATTGTTTGCAACTGGGACTGCTACTATTACTACTACTACTACTACTACTACTACTACTACTACTACTACTACTACTACTATTACTACTACTACTACTGCTACTACTACTACTACTACTACTACTACTACTACTACTACTACTACTACTACTACTACTACTACTACTACTACTACTACTACTACTACTACTACTACTACTATTACTACTACTCCTACTACTACTACTATACTACAACTACTATCCTGCGACTGGGACTGCTGCTGCTGCTGCTCCTACTATTACTATTATTATTACTACTATTACTACTACTATTACTATTACTATTACTATTACTACAATTAGTACTACTATTATTATTACTATCATTACTATTATACACTTATTATTACTACTACTAGTATTACCATTACTACTGCTACTACTACTACTACTACTACTATTACTATTACTATTACTACTATTATTACTACTACGATTATTATTATTACTACTACTACTACTACTACGTACTACTACTACTACTTCTATTATTATTACTACTATTATTATTACTATTATTATTATTGTTATGATTGTTACTATTATTATTAGTATTACTACCAGTACTACAATTATTATACTACTGCTACTATTACTACTACTATTACGATTACTATTACGATTACTACTACGATTACTATTACGATTACTACTGCAACTACTACTACTACTACTACTACTACTACTACTACTACTACTACTACTACTACTACTACTATTACTACTACTACTATTACTGCTACTACTACTATTATTACTACTACTAGTACTGCTACTAGTACTAGTACTACTATTACTACTATTATTATTACTACTACTTACTACTACTCTACTAGGACTATTACTACTACTACGACTACGACTACGACTACTACTATTATACTACTACTACTGTACTAGTATTACTATACTACTACGATTGTATTATTGCTATTACTATTACTACTACTACTATTACTACTACTACTACTACTACTACTACTACTACTACTACTACTACTACTACTACTACTACTACTACTATTACTACTATTGTATTTATATTATATATTATATGTTATATTTTATATGTAGTTTATTGTAAATTCCCATTATTATGTATTTTATATTTCGAATTAGGTCTTAGATATTAAGTATCATAATATATATATATATATATATTTATATTATATTATATATAATGTATATATATATATGTATATTATTATACATATTTATTGAATGCTATATATATATATATATATATATATATTGTATTACATTATATTATATTATTTCATACGTTTTATAATGTATTTTATATGATATCTTATATTATATCCATTTTTATATATTATATTATATTGCCGTTTGTTTTTTCAATATTTATTATATATTCCATGATAATATTATATATTGTACATGATATGTTATGTTAAAATTAATATGAATCATAATAATATTGATATTAATAGAAACATAAATATGAATAAAATAAGTATAGATATGCAGAATGTATTGGTCGATCGCGTCGGGAACAACGTACCAAAACTCGAGTTTAAGCGCCTCGAGATACGTTTCGTGTGAGAGGGTTGTCGATCGTGCTTCGAACACGTACAAAAACTCGAGTTTTCGCGCCTCGAGATGCGTTTCGTGTGAGAGGGCGGGTCGTCAATCGTGCCCGGAAAACCTTTCCAAAACTCGAGTTGTAGCACGTCGACACGCGTTTCGTGTGAGAGGGTCCTCGATCGGGTTCCGAAACGTACCAAAACTCGAGTTTTCGTACTCGAAGTCGAAGTTTATTTTCTTTTTGATCCTTTTTTATTTATTTTTTGATCCTGGGCTGCGTTATTTTTTTTTTGATCCTTTTTTATTTTTTTTTTTGATCCGGCAGCCCCTTGGAAAAAAGCGCATTCAACCCCGAGATATCTTGAAGATATCTTGAAGATATCTTGGTTTCTATCTTCTGTGCTTTGTTGTGCTTTTTGGGAGCTTTGTGGTGGAAAAAAACGCATTCAACCCCGAGATATCTTGAAGATATCTTGGTTTCCATCTTCTGTGCTTTGTTGTGCTGTTTTGGGAGCTTTGTGGTGGAAAAAAAGGGCATGCAACCCGGAGATATCTTGAAGATATCTTGGCTTCTATCTTCTGTGCTTTGTTGTGCTTTTTGGGAGCTTTGTGGTGGAAAAAAAGCGCATTCAACCCCGAGATATCTTGAAGATATCTTGGCTTCTATCTTCAGTTCTTCGTTGTGCTTTTTGGGAGCTTTGTGGTGGTAAAAAAGCGCATTCAACCCCGAGATATCTTGAAGATATCTTGGTTTCTATCTTCTGTGCTTTGTTGTGCTTTTTGGGAGCTGCGTGGTGGAAAAAAGCGCATTCAACCCCGAGATATCTTGAAGATATCTTGGTTTCTATCTTCTGTGCTTTGTTGTGTTTTTTGGGAGCTTTGTGGTGGAAAAAAAGCGCATGTACCATTTAATGAGCATTATTTCACATTTTGCTTGTATTGAATGGGTGTTGCAAGTAGAGTTCAATTAATTTTGGATTATTCATTGCTTTCAATGGTGTTGTAGCTAGAGTTCAAGTTGTTTTGGAATATTCAATCAATGCTACAATATTTCGTTTGTATGCAGTTTTGAAAATTGTTTTTTGTTTTTTTTTACGTCCTTAAGCCAGGATGATGCTGAACTTGGTAAATATGGGTCCAGCATCTGCTGGCGCCGACCTCACCATGCTTCAAAAAATGGGTCCAGCATCCAAGATCCATGACTCTAGGGGCGTTGCAATCCAAATCTTGGATTTTGATGGGTATACTGAAAAAAAGGAAATTGCTGAATTCAGTCTTCCGGGATGCAAGATCCAAGGTTCAAGATTGCTCAGCATCAGTACTGCTTTTTCCGAGGCATGCTTGTGAATCCTGAATCTGGATCCGGGACTGATCATTTTCAGGCCGCAGTTTGGGCATAATAATAATCATACTAAAAAAAGCAAGTAGAGGAGGGCTTCCGCTGTTTCAGGTGCAACGAAAGACAGCCCGCGAACATGCAAGAGGCTCCGATGGCCTAACGTCCAACAGACTGCAGCATTCAGCGTTTTATTTGTGCTGCATGTGTCACGGCCCCATTGTTTCCCCAGCAGCGCCGGGTCCTCAGATGCCGGTCGCAGACCATGCGTTGGCGAAAAACGCGAAGAAAAGAGACAAGATTCAAGATTGCCAGTGGGTGTTTTAGGGGCATCTTGAGTACGGGATCCGGGACTGAAAAAAGATTCAGGGTTCAAGATGCATTGGACAAAGTCACTGAATATTTTTTCGAATCCGGGACTGGAAATTTCACGAAATTGCAGTCCCTCAGTCCCTGGCTCAGTCCCGAATCCAAAGTTCAGTATTCAAGATGCCTAGGAGACACAGAAGCCTAAAAGTCTTGAATCCTGAGTCCGGGAACCACGGGACGTCGAATCATATGTATATATATATATATATAAACAGATTGTTCTAGATTTACCTAGGTTTGAATAGATTTGTATTTAGGTATTTATTGTCATACATTTATCTTTATTTGATTAAGTAAGTTTGTATGTATTTACGTATTTATTTATCTTCAATATTATACCGTGGACACACTTACATATCTAAAAGTTGTCAAAAGGTACTCGTACTGCCCTTGCGTGACCCAGGCTCGATGAGACTTTGGACCACTCTTCTGATCCTGCCATTGGCCGGGGTGACGTCGGCAGGATTACTCACCAGGCCACTATGAGAACCGGCCAGTTGGTGACAAGCCAATGGATATGCGAGCTTTTCCCCGGGGTGTATGTCAAGATATTGGATGTGGATACGGATGCCAAGATCGGACGGCAGCGCGCGTTGGTCAAGACCCAGCTTTCATTCATAAGGGGATGGATCAGCATACGGACTTCCAGGAGCAGCTATTTGGTTGAAGCATGTTCTGAAGATGAATGTTGCTTATTCGACTTGCCGGGTTCGAATCAGATTTGTGGCTGTGAGCTGCGGTCAGATCCTTCGGGCCTTGCTGGTGTGATACGAAACTTAACTTCCCACATCAAGCGCCAACCAGATTTTGGGACGCTGACATCCGCTGACTTCATTGTATCCCAGAGGCTGCAATCACTGTTCAGAGTTGCCAGTGGTGGGGACAACGCCAATTTGGACGCACAGCGATTACGCTGGAGTCTGTGGGCAACCTTAAGCCCAAACAGGAGCTCGCCGGAAGGCCTTGCCATCCTTGCGGTTGTCATGCTGCAGCTTCGTGACGCCATTCTTGAGATGGACAGCTTGCTGATGCGGCTGCATGAGGAGTTCGTGTGCTTAGAAGACACGGATGCCGAAGCCTTGTTCAATGCTTCTGGTGAAACGCACGCGGCAGCTATGAAAGCCAAACAGCTGAGTCAGAGATGTAGACATGTCGCAAACACGATCACACTTCCTAGTTCCGCGTGGTTTGCCCATTTGCCGAATCCAGCTTCCATCGTTGTCGATCTAGCGAGAGGGGAGGAGGCCCTTTTGGAGCTACACGACGAGAAGGCAGTGCTGGCAAACCAACGGCGCATTCTCATAGCCCGGGTCAAAGCGGCGGTGGAAGCGAGGGCCGCAACGGAAGCTGTGTCCGCAGCTTCCCTATTGGCCGAGGCCCTTCGACCAGACAAGCGTTTGGATTTCCCTTTGGTGACAGAGTTCTGCGACCGTGCCACAAGCGACAAAGCCGAACTTGCAGATGTGGTGGATGCCCTGACACAAGTTCTGAAAGAAAACCAGGGGCTGCCCTTGCTGCCGCAGCGTTTGAAGGCATTGACCCTCACAAACGAGTTGATGTATGATGATGCCGCTCGCCAAGCCTTTGCTCGTCATCCAGGCTTTCTGTCGGTCCTGATGTCGATGGGTTCGACCGATTCGACCGATTCGACCGCTAGCGTTACATCTCCTATACCTCCTGGCGTTGCTTTTGATTTGGCAGCTGCCAATGCTCAGTTGCTCACAACCGAAATTGCACGGCGTGTGAGCACAGAAGCAGCCTCATTAAAAGCAGGTTGCTTTGCAGTTGCTCCAGCTGCTCAAGGTTCGGTTGCTGCGCCATCATGGCTTGTGTCAGTTGCACGCACCCCAGGTCGACAGACTGGACAAACGCAGCATGTCTTGTCTTGGCCACATACTTGCAGTGCGCTCAATGCTTTGCGCGCAAGCCTTCAGAGCGGCGCAGCATCAACCCAGGACATTACTAGCGTCTTGGACCATATTTACCGCAGCCTGGATGAAGCAACCGGCCAAGTATCACAGCTGCGAAAGTCACTGGACCACACCATTTCAGCTGATGTTGGCGAACTGATCGACAACTTTTTGCTGTCTGCTACGCGCGTTAATTCTCGTGTGCTTGAATGGAAATGTACGGCTGTTAACGCACTGGATGAGGCCGAGGCTTCTGTTGCCAACAGTTCGCCGTCACCCCTGTCAAACAGAGGGCAGCGCAAACACCTCGCAAAACTGTTGGACCGAGCCGAAAGTGCTGGGGAAAGCTTAAATACTTGCCTGACAGTTCTTCTGGCCCGTCGCCCCACTGATGGAGAGCTGCCATGGCTAATGCCAGATGGGCCAGCGCCAGCATGAAGTCAGGAAAAGCCTGCGTGTGCTTCCGTGCACTTCTGTGTGTTGGCCAGCTGGAGGCAAGGCCTGGTGGTGGGTTCTTGTGGATTTGAGTTCGATCACAGGGCATGCTATAGGAATACATTGAGTGCATCCGGCTCCTGCAATTACGACCACTCCAGAGCCATAAACCCTGCAACTACTGTCTGCAACCCAGACGCGACACGAACCCACTGTTCGAACACAAGGCATGCTCCATGGATTTGTTGGTTGGTTCCCCCAGCGCACACATACATGCCCAAACGTAAGAAATGAAAAGGTTGTTGCTTGAATATGTTTAGGAAGAATGCTCAGCCGATCGACCCCTGTGAGAGACAGCCAGACTCGACTCAGGACCTGACGACATGGTCGAGGACAGTTTTGGCCGAGTGAAGCCACGTCCGGGTCGCAACGTCCATGCCGGCTACGCCAACGAAGACGATGCGTGGCTCTCAGTAGCCTTTTTGTTGTGTGTGCATTTGCGTTGCCCTTTCCTTTACATTGCCCCCTTTCTGAGGAGCCACCCCCGCTGGCCAGGAGCTGAGAAGGTGATGTGCAACGCCGCGCAAAGCTGTGCAGTTCCGCGTGTTGAGGTCCCCGGCAGTGGTTTTGGCACATTCGGTGGCCTGAACCCCCGGAGTGTCGACAAGCCTCTGTAAACTCCATTTGCCATCATTTGCCACGATGCGATGCTGCGATATTGCTTCCCTTTCTTGTACTAAGTACTGCTTGGTGCTGCCGCTAAAAGGCCTTGGCGGAATCCGTGGTTTCAGCACTCTCGGAAGTCTCGGAAGCAGAGGGCTCATCGCACACAAGGCGCTGCATCGAGTTTTGTCTTAATTTCGGTGGAGATGTCATGTGTGATTCAGAAGCTTTTTGTCTGGCTCCGTGGCCTGACAGGCACAGGCTGCGTGGGCCTTAGCATTGTGGCTCACTGACTGCAGAGCGCAGAAAGCGCCGAAGTCACAGGAAGAGATGCCAAACTCGAAACGTCAGGCAACCAGCAGCGATGAGGAGTTGGAAGAGGACGCCCAGATCCATGCACATCCACTGCCACATTTCCCCAGAATGTGCGGTGAGAAAGCAGTCATAGTCATTGTACCGCGTCTGCAAGGATCCTTCGATCAGTTACGACGAAGTCACAAGATCCAAGCTTAGCTAACCGGGCTAACCGACATTGCCAAGACAAAAACAGGGCTTGGGAGTTTCAGACTGAGGTTTGCAGCAAGAGCTTCGTGGAGCTGGCATGGGCTCTGATACCATGCCTCGTTCATTTCCAGCTCTCGCCAGGAGATAAGTTCGCCAACCCAAAGTTTCAGGCTGGGAAAGAGGGACGTGAAGTCTGCAAACTCCCTGTGACGTGCGTGACGTGTGTGTGAGTGACGTGTGGCGCACTGTGCAACGTGTGTCTGACGTGCGGTACGCGGTCCTCCGGGGCCTGTTTGGGCCTCGCTTCCCGGGGATTTGCTTCTATTCTTTGGCTAGTCTTGGAGGTGGATCTTTGTGCAGCACTGGCTCGTTTGGGCAAATAGCTTTGCAAACAGAATGATAGGCTGTCAAGTATAGGGACATGTTTGATAAATTTGCTCGGTTTTTGGAGCCTTTGTTTTTGGGACGGGGGCATGCACTGTAGACCGTATCGCAGACCATGTATTTTGATTTAGTCTTGAGGATTTAGGGTTAAGAGTTTGGGTCTCTTGTTTTCCTCTTAACCACTGAAAAGCTCGCCTTGTTTCTTGCGCATCGTCCTTCCTTTTTGTTGGCGCCGCCATGCAATGAGCAAGAGAAGTTCTTGTCTTCCCTCTCATCTGTCATCACCCATCTTCTGTCTTCCTTGTCGGATTTTGTTTCGCTGCTCCATTCTGTAGCAGGAATGGTGAAGCCAGCATAGCCAGCGCGCCATTTAATGTTGGACCTGCTTTATGTAGCACAAAGGGTTCCCATTCTTAAGTGACACACAATGCTGCTCATCTCGCTGCTTCGCAGTGTGCTTACCCGGCATTCGTCACGAGGCCTGGATGTAAACAGTGCCACACAGTTCCTAAACTGCTGATCGCATTAGCATGGAGCCTGCTGTTGCAGAGAGTGCTTGCACAAAAACCCAGAACCTTCAGTTGTCCTAAGTGTTGCCCCGCAATGTGGCTGGTCTGCTTGGGAGGTGGCAAAAAAAAACCCTAAACCGTAACGGTTCAGGGTTTAAAAGGGTTCAGGGCAAGCATCGAACAAAAACCCTCCTTTTGATTGTAGACAACACAACGACCGTCTCTGCGGCTGGAACTGAAACGTGACCTGTCCAAAATCGGTTTCATGACTTAACACAACACTCTCGAACTCGTGTTCGACATGCTCTTGTTGTGGTGGGTTTGTTTTTTTTGGGTGCAGGTGCGTGCATGTGCGTGCGTGCAGGTGCACGCATGTGCATGCATGCAGGTGCGTGCGTGCGTGTACACAACATTACACAATACAGGTGCGCTTGTGTTCGCGTGGGGTGCGCGCGCGCGTGCTTTTCGGTGCGGTTGCGTCGAAAACCCTGATTCTAAGCCAAGGGCCTTTGGAAGCTGCAGTGTGCCGTCGCTATGTCATGTCATGAATGGGGGGAGCACCAGTTGGCCACTGGTCAAAGAGTATCAGTTTGTGACATCCTGACAGAACAGGCTGCATGTCGATTTCTCTTTCTCAGGGCTTTGGGATTTCCCAATGTCAGGATCACTTAGGTGACAACAGTCTCCATCATTAAATTGCAATCTTCGCCATGTATGGGGGACTTAAGTTTTTTCGTTTCTCCCTGTGTGCGTGTGAGCGCGTGTGTGCATGGGTGCGTGCGTGGGAGTGTGTGATATGTGTGACGTGTGTCTGCAAGTCTGTTTCAAGTTGCCTCTTGTGTGGCTGCGATAGCTTTTGGCAGACGTGGGGCTTTTCTTTGTCCCTCTACATGTTTCAGGCGAGACTGAAGGAGGTGGAACGAAACGCTGATGGCCCGGGAGAGCTTGTGACGCCCTCGATTGAAACCCTCATTTGCCCCAGCCCTGGACTACTTTCATGTAACACGCCCAGATTCACTGACTCAAGGCTCGCAGAAGACAAGAACTTATGCTAGAGGTGGCCTTCTGCCCTGGGCCCTCTTTTTGCGCTCGTTTTAGACTTCGGGCTGGAAGGTGCAGAGTGCAGTGCTGCCAAAGTATGGTTTTGAAGGCTCCCGCGTTGGCGACTAAGAGTTGGGGCACTCACGCCTGTGGCATCACTCACTCCAAGATGCTCCAAGGCCGGAGTGTACAAGATGATGGCAGCCATGGGGCCATACGTCGCGTCCCCGGCTTCTTGTGCATTGCCGGGCGCTGTTCTGCTTCTGACAGAAGTAGCCGAGTTCCAGCCATAAGTCCTGCAGGTGGAGCGGCCTGAGTTCACTGAGCTTGCAGAAGAAATCAATGGCCACATGCTCAGGACGACTTGCAGTGTCTTGCGCAGCGTAAAGGTCAGATACAGCTCGAGTCAAAATCCTCAGTGAAACTCCAGTGGCGCATGTCAACTAAGGGCTCTTGGGTCTGCGATCTCCTCCAGAGTGTGCCCGGCAATGGAATTGACTTGTATGCGCAGCATGATCAATGGAGGGTGCAGAGGTTGTTGCATGTCCCCCGGAAACAGCCGCACAGAGCTTGGACTAGAATGGTTCTGTAGATTTGTTCCATGCAGTCTGAACGCAAAGGGACTGCGACACCTGTTACTTGCCAGGACTTGGCGGGGCTTGTCCAAAGCCAGGGCCGTAACACTACATGCCAAGATGCGCAGTTAGCTCAACAAGTCGACGCGCTGGTTGACCTGGAAAGGCATGTGCCAGGGCCAGCAAAGAGCAGGCAAGGGCATCAAGATCTGAGAGCCGTAGTCCACAACGTCTCGCAATGTGCTCTAGGCCTCCAATGGGTTGGATGAAATGCAGACCGCTGCCTACACTAATGGTAAGGACAAGGCAGAACTGATCGTCTGCACGACACAAGAGGGCAACAAAGCACAGTACAGCATAAAGAAGAGCATGTCACATCTAACGGCTTGTGATGAACCAGGAGACGTATGACAATGTGAAAGGGATTCCGCAGCCAGGGCCAGCCGACGATTTTGTTCATTCGTCAACATTGCCTTATTCTTCTTGTGGAAGAGTTACTTCCATGTCAGGGTATGGCCGTCCGGCAAGAAGCCGCCTTTTAGGCTCTCCATCGCTGGAAGCCAGATCCTGAGAGCAAGCAACCATACCACGCAGCATGCAGTGCCATCTACAACTTGGAGCATGGCGAGAGGTTGGAACAGCTTCATACCGGATACGATGGAGACCAAGCCTCAGCTTATCAAGACTTTCACACTCATTGCCTCAACACACGACGTGGAATAGCTTGGGCATGGAGAAAGGCGAGTGTGACATCTGTGCAACAGAGAAGAAATTGAAACAGACGTGTGGTCGCCAGAGGGCATTGGAAGCACAACCCTCCCGTCACAAGCGACCGAGAAGGAACATTAGGGAATGCTTACTGCCGATCTTGAGGCGTTTGGAGAATATTTTGCTTATAGTGTAACGATGATTCATCCATAGAATGCAGTCACATGGTAGGGATCGCATGGTGAGGAACAGAGAGTCACGGGCGATCCATTCCAAAATGCGTCAAATGGGCCCAGCGCATGCGTAAAGACATGCTATGAGCGCGGCACAGCTAGCGCACCTCTGTCACTGGCATCCCAAGGCATGGAGAGGCGAAAGGACAAACTTTGACCGATGCACAGTGCGTTCTTGCAATGTTCACAGCAAGCATGTCTCAAAATGTTGCTGTTTTTCATTGGTTTCTATCGAAGTACACTCTTCTCCCTTCACCAGAACCGAACGTGTCGAATTCTGAAACGCAAGATGCCTTGGGATGCCAGTGACAGAGGTGCGCTAGCTGTGCCGCGCTCATAGCATGTCTTTACGCATGCGCTGGGCCCATTTGACGCATTTTGGAATG